TTGGCTATATGTTCATCTTGACAAAGAAGCCATAGTAGCCTGGGTTATGTGGGCCTTTTAACAGTCAAACGTAACAATTGTAAAGTTATGTTCAATGAATTTGATCGAAGGAAAACTAAAAACTCAGAGATCAGAGATTTGCATTGAGTTCAACCTCCGACATTTTGGAATCTGTGAATTAGTGATTGAACTCTCAATTTCTTTTTTTGTGTGTAGGGCGTTTTTTTTTTTTTTTGGGGGGCATGAGTAGCTAAACCCATTGGCTATTTTTGGGGGGGGGGGGGGGGGGGCGGTAGGGCCATAAATTAGGTATCTTGTAACCTAAATATCATTTCTGAAGAAAATATACGAGTAAATGTCAGCAACTAACAACAATTCCGGAGGACATAACGGTGCCTTCCTAATTAATAACCTTATGAAGTCAAAAAGCAGCTCACTGGCATCACTCCATAGGATAAATTTTTCTAGAAATCTGTTATACCAAATAAGTCAAAAAACAAAACTTCGATTAAATGGTTGCATGGGAGACCATAAATATAGTAATTCAAACAAACTAGACCCCCCCCCCCCTCCCAAATAAAAAAACAACCTTCTCAAAAGCCGAGCATATGAAAATATGGTGAACGTTAGGTCTTGTGAAGCCAACAACAACAACTATGCCTCAATCCCAAACTAGTTGGAGTCCGTTGTATGAATCCTCAATATCTTAAATGATCTGTTTGGGTCCATACTACTTCAATACTCCGTATTTAAGGATAAAGTAAATGTTGTTAAGAATGTTAACGAATTCTTGTTTGCAGCTTGCTCATCTATTTTACTTCATACAACTGTCACTAATTTATCGAAGTAAACTAGAAACAGAGGGTGAGCCTGTTTAAGTTTATCTCATTAAACCAACTTGGAAATATATATCATGAGGAAACATCAGCGAAAGACGCATTGTCCTTCAATAAACTCAGGTGTACTTCAGGGACTAACATTTCCAAAAGGCAATTCTTCCAAAACCAAATCCAAACACATTAATTTTCAAAAATAAAGCAAAACCAAACCAAACCGAACCGAACCGAACCAAAACCCTTTCCATTCCAGATGCCACCATCATTCATCATCACTTATTTGTATGACTTTTAATTTTAGGAAGTTAAATCCAAAGGTCAAGTGATAGCATCTCTGGAAGACCAGCATCAATATCTAAATGGTTGAAAAGTTACGTCTAATTGCTGCTTACTTAAAAAGGACAAAGTTCTTAATGATAGCAGGTTCCTTACCCATAGAGCATTTTAATCCATTATTACACTTTCCGTGTAAGGCACAATACACAAGGTTTCAACTTTCGACAAGAGAAAGATCAATTGATTCCCACAGGTTACTCTAGAAATCCAAGTCCATTTCTTTGGATTAGCAAGGACGAAAATTCCACGGCTGAAGAAACACTAAGCTTCTTTATCACAAGATAAACACTCAATGACTCTATTTTCTCCTTAGAAAGTGTTTTCAACAATACATAGGCAACAAAAAAATAACTCTCCTCCCAAATATTTTTGCAAGCACACACTAATAAAGTGAGACAGCAGCATCACTTCGAATTCTAAACGACTCATCTATCAATTTTTTTTTTAAAAAAGGCATTAATTGCCAGAAAAGGTGTTTAACAGTGTTTGGTATGACAGAAGATGTTTACTACCAAAAGAGCACAAATGACTATTTGTCCTTATGAGCAAAAGTTACTATCCTTTATAAATATCCCATCGATACTCAATATATTTTTCCAACTTAAACTTTGATATATTTTATAACGGTGGTGTCTGAGCTAACTTGTGCACACCTCGACTATTCCACAGGGTTACTGCTATCTCCCACCAGCATAGATACTGGATGGCTCTGTGCGCCATGGCTTAGGCAGACGGGAAAAGAAATTACCTAGCGCACCAAGGCTTAGGCAGACGTGAAGAAATCACCAAGTGTTGCACGCTTAAACTTTGACATTATTATCAACAACAACAACAACAACCCAGTAAAATCCCACAAGTGGAGTTTGGGGAGGGTAGAGTGTACGCAGACCTTACCCCTACCCCGGAGGGATAGAGATACTGTTTCTGGAAGACCCTCGGCTCAAGAAGAAGAAAATAAACAATAAACAATAGACAATAGATCAGTGACAGCAACAAAAGCCAGAAAAATAATATCAGCATCGTAAGAAACAGAAAAATAGATGTAAAAGCAATAACAATAACCAATAATAATGCCATAGAAAATAGTGTGGAAACTGCATAAACCACTAACAACCCACGGCGAAACATTATCAGCGTAGCCCCGCCCCCGGAACAACGTAGAAAAATGCTCGACTCCCTCCTAACCTACAACCATAATGCTTGACCACCACACCATCCTATCCAAAGCTATGTTATCGAAGATCTGAAGTCGCACCAAGTCCTGCCTGATCACCTCACCCAAATACTTCTTAGGTCGCCCTCTACCTCTCCTCGTACTTGCCAATGTCAACTGCTTACACCTCCTAACCGGAGCATCTATGTTTCTCCTTCGCACGTGCCCGAACCATCTAAACCTCACTTCCCGGATCTTGTCGTCCCTGGGAGCCACGCCCACCTTCTCCCGAATATCTTCATTACTAATCTTATCCAGCCTAGTGTGCCCGCACATCCATCTCAACATCCTCATTTCTACTACTTTCATCTTCTGGGTATGAGAATTCTTGGCTGCCCAACACTCTGCCCCAATACAGCATGGCCGGTCTAACCACCGCGCTATAGAACTTGCGTTTAAGTTTCGGTGGCATTTTCTTGTCACACAGGACTCCAGATGCTAACCTCCATTTCATCTACCCCTCATACACGGTGCGTGACATCCTCGTCTATCGCCCCATCCCCCTGAATAATTGACCCAAGGTACTTGAAACTTCTTCTCTCTGGGATGACTTGTGAGTCAAGCCTCACATCCATGTCCGTTTTCCCCGATGCATCGCTGAACTTACACTCCAGATATTCTGTCTTGGTCCTGCTCAACTTGAAACCTTTAGACTCAAGGGTCTGTCTCCAAACCTAATGCATCTCATTAACAACGCCTCGCGTCTCATCAATCAGAACTATATCATCAGCGAACAACATACACCATGGCACATCCCCTTGAATATGGTGTGTTAGTGCATCCATCGCTAGGGCAAATAAGAACGGGCTGAGCGCAGACCCTTGGTGCAACCCCATAACAATCGGAAAGTGCTCCGAGTTACCTCCTACAGTCCTAATCCGAGTCTTAGCTCCCTCATACATGTCCTTTATCGCCCTAATGTAAGCTACCGGTACACCTTTCACCTCCAGACATCTCCAAAGAACCTCCCTATAAACCTTGTCATACGCTTTCTCTAGGTCAATAAACACCAAATACTTCTTCCGATCCCTGTACTGTGTCACCAACCTCCTGATAAGGTGGATAGCTTCCATAGTGGAAAGACCCGGCATGAACCCGAATTGATTGTCGGATATAGACAGTGTCCTCCTCACCCTCCCTTCCACCACCCTCTCCCAAACTTTGACATTATTATCATTCTTTAATATCCAAAATAACTGGAAAACTCCAACCTCCTACTCTATCCTCCACCTTATAAATTTACCATATGTCACCTGCTTTATACCCAACATTATTCCATAAAATGGTTTTCCTACGTAAATAATTTTCCTCCCTACATACGCACCTGTATTCTTCCTACTTAATTGTCTAGTGGATTCGTACTGTATCGAGCTGCTAAATCCCAAAAGTTATAAGAATTACACAATCTACCAGCCAAATCAAACATATAAGTTGGGGACTAACATAGTATCAAACCACTAGTAATTTAAATGCAATAAATAAGCTAGGAAACTTAAGCAAGTGCAGGTAGTTTAAATAAAGAAGAATTAGAGCAGAACTTACTTGTAAATAGGATCAGAGTCGCCGGAGGTGGCATGGAGAAGTCGGAAAACTGAAGAAATCGCGGCAAGAAACAGAACCAAACGACATTTTTCCATATCGGAATCGTGAAGCGAAAGTCAAAAGGGAAAAAAAATTGAATACTGGTACAGAAATGAATCAAGGGATGAAAGTAACAGGAGCTGGCATAGTGAGTATTTATATATAGGAATTAATTGAAGAGAGGAGATGTGAAATGGATGAACGACGTGAACACAACCAAGAGAGAGAAAGAGAAGAGAGGAGAGAGAAAGAGGAGATTTTATTTGATGAGTTGAGTTTATTGAGTGACAGGCAAAGGTGAGGAGGTGAGGTGAGCGGAGACCAGAATCTCGTGATTAGCACTCTCCCTGGCGTTTCACGAGCAGCCACGTGGAGTATCTTAGGTGGCGTTTCTTCGTAAATTTTGAGGAACAGATTTTTTGGTATACACAAAATAACTTTTCTTACTTCTATGTTCCGTTTATAAATAATTTTTCCAAAATAACTTACTTCCACTTGTTCCAAATATATTCCAAAGTACCAAACTGATTTCGTTTGATATCTTGGAAAAACAATGAGTTATTTATCACTATTCTTTTTTTTTTATACAGTGGAGAAGGTTGTATGGGGTAAAATTGGTTCATAATAAATAGTCGAATGATAGCATGACACGTGGAACCGAGGATAGGCAAAAGACAAGTGAACTAACAATTAGTACCGGGTACAACTAATGCAATTGACGTCGGGTAAATCTCGAAGGGAGCATAGTTAACGGGAGTAGACCGAGTATTTACCATCGGATAGCATTCAATGAGGAATATTTTTTTTTTTTTTGATAAAACTAACATTTCATTTCATCAAAAAAACTATCTTTACAAAACCAGATTAATGTTGACCATCAATCTCCTAATCACTATTACTATTACAGGGATTAACTAGATATGTACATAATCATCAAATATAAGCTACTCCTAAGGATAATTGTTTAAACTTTGCAGTGCTTGTTGCCATTTGATCTTTGACCTCCCATGTATGTGCATGTGTATAGCAATCTCCTAGCATATCTCGTCCACCATGTATCTACCCTTGTTAAATCTGATAGAGTTTCTTTCCCGCCAAATACAATACACTACCATCGCAAATGCTGTTGTAGTGATATCTGCTTTAGCATTCTTCCTTTTGGCTATGCTACTGATCCATACTAGTTCATCTTGCCAGCTTCCAATATTCCTTGTAACCCCCAGCCATCTCATTATTCTGTCCCATAACAAACTGGTGTTTGGACAGCCAAAGTAAAGATGATCAAATGTTTTCATAGTACCTGCACAGAATACACAATCTAGTGGTACTTGGATTCCAAACTTGAGTAGCCTGTCCACAGTTGCTATCCTTTGATGAATAGCCAACCATAGATGAAATTTGAATCGTGGATGAACCTGTGTGTGTAGATGAATGCTTTTCCAACTAACTTTGGGAAACTGAGGCAGTAGCTTGACATAAGCTCTTTGTATTTGGAACCTTCCCTGTTTCACCAAGTCTGTCAGAGCTAGTATGAGGCTGCCTTGCACTGAGTTCATCTGCATCAAGTCTTTCTTTGCCTCTATGATTTTCCTGACCACCCACGCTGCTGTTTTAGGTGTGTCCATCTCTGTAATGTCTTTGTTCTTTATGTAATAACTGTGTCCATTTGATCCATAGAGCATCTTTCTTCATTGTCAAAGCCCATAGGTGTTTCAGAATTGCAGCTTTGTTCCATATACTCATATTGATAATGTTCAATCCCCCAGCAGCTTTTGGTTGACATATCTTATCCCATGCTATCAATGCTTTCCTTGAAATGGCATTTTGATCCAGTCCAAAGAAATGTTCTGCATATAGTCTCTATCATCTTCATTATCTTCTTAGGCAATAGGAAAATTTTAGCCCAGTATGTTTGAATTCCAAACAACACAGATTTAATAAGTTGTATCCTTCCAGAATAGGATAGCATCCTAGTTGACCAGCAGTTTACTCTTTCAGTAATCCTTTCCACTAGCGGCAGACATTGGTGTATATTCAACTTCTTAGCAGACAGTGGCATCCCCAGGTACTTAAAGGGAATAGATCCCTCTGTGAGTCCTGTAAGATCAAGTAATAGCTCTTTGATATGTTGTGGAACACCAGCTATATACATTGAGCTTTTATCTGCATTAGCCTGCAGTCCAGATGCAGCAGAAAACCTGTTAAAGGCTTCCTGCATTATTTTTACTGAAGTTGTGTCTGCCCTGCAAAACATTAACAAATCATCAGCAAAATAAATATGTGTCACCCCCAGTTTTTTGCATCTTGGGTGATATTTGAACTCCTTTAAGGTGGACAATTGGCTCATCTCTCTTTGTAGGTACTCCATTGCAATAACAAAAAGATAGGGTGACATTGGATCCCCTTGCCTAATCCCTCTCTGGGCTTGAAAAGGTTTGGTAAGGCCACCATTGAGTACTAAAGAGTATGACACTGTTGACACACATTCCATTACCAATGGATGAATTCTATGGAAAGCCAAGATCAGTGAGCATGTATCTAGGAAATTGCCAATCCAATGAGTCATAAGCCTTTCTTATATCAACCTTAAGAACTGACCTAGGAGATAGACCTTTCCTGTAATAGCCCTTGAATAGTTCATGACTAAATAGGATGTTATCTATAATGCTCCTTCCTTCTATAAAAGCAGACTGTGACTTCCGAATAATTACCTCAATTACCCTTTTTATTCTTTTAGTCAGAATCTTGGCAATAATTTTATACAGTGTAGTGCAACAAGCAATAGGCCTATAATCTTTCACTGTTATAGGTGCTGGGACTTTAGGTATCAGAGTGATGGTTGTACAGTTCCATGCTGGCTTCATTTTACCAGTATGAAAGAAGAATGAAACACCCTCATAGATGTCTTGCCTCACTGTTGTCCAATGCTTAGTAAAGAATTCTATAGGATAGCCATCAACTCCAGGAGCTTTGTCGTTTGGCATATCTTTCACTGCTTCATCCACCTCTTCATGTGTTATCTCCTTTATTAGTTCATGCTGGTGCTGTAATGTTAGACAATCTCCTGCTTTAATAAATCTGGTATTTGGACATGGTATTAACCCAGTGGCCTTCATCATTAGCTGAGTGAAAAAATTAGTGAACTCTTTTTCCACAGCTTTTGGATCACTGATCTTCACTCCTATATCATTATACACAGTAGTGATATTATTCTTGCTGGCTCTAATTTTCAACTGTGCATAAAAGTATTTAGAGTTTGAATCACCGTAATCAATCCATGTTACTCTTGACTTTTGCCTCAATATCCTTTCCTCTATAATGCTCCATTTCTCCAATTCATGCATAGTCTGTTTTTCCTGTTCTATCAGCATCTGGTTGAAAGGATCAAGAACCAGGTTAGCTTGGGTACACTCCAGTCTCTGCCTTATTTGTGTCAACCTTTGCTCATAGTTTTCCATCTCCTTGTTCAGACCTTTAGTCTCATCTTTTAGCTTATGTAACTTCTGCCAAATAACAGTCATAGGATCCTGCTCAATCTGCTGCTGCCATACTCTGTCAACCATAGGTCTAAAGTCCTTATGCTCCATTGTTACTATGTATAGTTTGAATGGTTTGGGATGAATAGTTTTCCTCTTTCATATTTGAACTATGAGTGGAGAATGATCAGACACTCCAGGTTCTAAAAAATCTGCTTCCACATGCCCATAGTCCTTAGTCCAGTTGAAATTGCCAAAAGTCCAGTCAATCTTACTACATACTATATCATTTGCATTCTGCTTATTACACCATGTAAAGAAACATTCCTTTGTTCTCAATGGGGTCAGCTGCATGTTGTCAATGCATTGTTTGAATTCCTGTACCTCACTAGCAGTCACTGGTTGTCCTAGCCTATCAGCTGTGGTTAGGACATTATTAAAGTCTCCACTAATGAGCCAAGGGACTTGAATCTGCCCCCTAACTGTTGCAGATCATGCCATAGTATTGCCCTTTCCTGCACCTTGTTCCTAGCATAGACCACTGTCAATATTATCTGAGCACTAGTCATTGGGTCATCTACTCATTGGATGAACTGCTCATGAATGTGGACTATCTTTACAGTCAAGGAGGTCTTCCATAATACCCATATTCTTCCATTTACAGCCTTTGAATAGTTGCAACAATATCCCCAATCCTTAGCTACCTTATGCAGTATATTTTTTGCCTTCTTTTCTTTAACTCTAGTCTCTAGACATCCTAGAATGTCTACTTTATTCTTTTGCAGAAAGGTTCTTAACTCTTTCTGCTTATAGGGCTTATTTAGCCCTCTTATGTTCCAAGTACTAATGATCATGGTGGTTTTTGTATAGGATCAGACTTCATTGCATCTCCCTGTGCAGAACTTTGCCCACACTCTTCTAGAATTGTAAATCTGTTAGAGGTGCTAGCTTCTACAGTTTTGGCCTGCTGCATAATTGGATTGTTCTGTATCCTGCTTCCTCCATTTCTGTTTGCCATCTGCATACTCTGATCAGAGACCTTTTCAGCTTTATCATGGCCAAAATGTACACATTCACTATAGAACTTTGGTCTCCACTCATACAATATTTCCTGTCGCCTAGTACCAGTTGGAGTTTCAATCTCTATATTCTCCACCAATGGCTTAGTAATGTCAACTTTCACTAGTACTCTAGCATAGTAAATTTTGTTCAACTCTGCTGTGAATTTGTCAGTGTACATTGGTAATCCTACAGCACTAGCCACCTTGCTCAATGGATCAGCAGTCCAGTAACCAGCAGGTAGACTAGGGAAGTGAATCCACAAAGGAATTGTAGTAATACACTTAGGGTCAAAATGGAAATCCCTCTCCCAATTTTGCAGAATAACTGGCTTATTGTGATACGAATAAGGCCCTGCTTGCATGACAAGATCCCTTTCCTCAATTGTTGCAAATCGAAACACATAGTATCCATCCTTGTGGTATAGAATTTGGGGTTTAGTGACAAAATCCCACACAGATTCTACATAGCTTTCCATAGATCTTTCATACGGAGCATCACCAAGCACATACCCAATTAGAGCAGTCGCCCAGTGTTCGTTAAGCATACTTACATCTTCTTCCACAATTTGAATGACTATCTTACCATTTCGATGACTTGGTGGAACATATTCCAGTCTTATCCCCATCTGAGAGTTCCGATTCTGTTGTCTGAGCTCTTTTGCATGCAGATCCTTCTCCATCCCAACCCCTGCTGCTACTATATATAGGTTGTTCTAGATCTGGAGATGGTCGTGCTGAAGATCCAGCTTCAGAGAATTGTAATCTTCTCGGGCTTGTTGGCAATTGGTCCTTGCATTTTTTAATTTCCTTCTCCTTCACTACCTCTGTACTGTTCCATTGGTTGCTGTTACATTCATCTTCCTCGCTAGCTCATTTTCCTCTCGAATTGGTTGAAATCGAGTGGGTAGAAAGCTTCCAAACGTCAATGGAGTGAATGACGGTATCCCTGAGGTCGCCGGTGTTACAGTAGCAGTCACCGGTGCTGTATGTTTACGTCTTCTCGCCATCGTCAGTGCACGTTAGCCTCCCTTGGCTTATCGTGCGCCGAGAGCATTTGGCTTCTTAAACCAATTTTAAAACGGTCACATTTCAATGAGGAATATTCTCTAACATTAAATGAGCGACTGTTGCAGGGAATATTTGCATTCATGGCATGCTATAAAGGCAGGCTCAGTAGCCATTGTAACACACAAAAAACTCATGGCAAAACATATGTTATATTCTACTTTCGCTCTCAATTAAACAAACTTTACTTGCTCTTTATCATTGCTTTGACTTTTGCCCTCGGAGATATTGTGCTCGCAGCTAGGCTCGTCATCTTCTTTAATTTCGATTACTAAGTCTCATTTTTTTAGTATTATTTCTTTATCAATTTTTGGATCAATTAAGTTCGCTTGTCTACAAACCATGTAACAAATTTAACTGTACCATTTTACGGATAAACAATTTGGCGCCCACCGTGGGTAAAAGCAACTTCGATGCGGATCAACAGTCTTCTAAATGTCATTTCCTACCAAGAACAGAGGGACGCGGCAGCAAAGGGTTTCGGTCCTCGGATAGGTTCGCTCCCGATAAAAGAGCTGACCGTGGCCGGAACAGCAGGGTGTTACAAGAAAAAGAGGTCCCGAGGGCCCGGGACTCCACATATCCCATGTTATTGGATTACAACTTCAAGATCAGCTTAGTAGAGCTGGTATCGACGATGCGGAATATCAAAAAGCATGATTCCTGAAGCCAATCAGATCCGATCCCAGCCAAAGGGATCCCAATTTGTGGTGTGAATCTCATGGGACTCACAGCCATAAAACTGGGGACTGTCAGCATCTACATGAAGGGGTGCGACATTGTTGAAGAATGGAAATCTCAGGGAATTCTTAAGCAACCGAGCCAAGAACAACTACGGCCGAAGTCGGGACAATGCATAACATTCTAAGGCGGCAAAAGACACCCGTCGGTTGACCTCAATATGATTTTCGGAGGGAACAAAAACAACAGTGTAACCTTCTCGGCGGCCAAGAAAATAAAGATATCGGTGACTCACAATAAGAGACTCTGGGAAGCCGTGGAGGACGATATCACCTTCACAGAAGAAGACACTGGCGGTCTTCTTCTCCCACACAATGACGATGTGGCAATCTCTCTTAATAGTTTAGATTTCAAAATTAAGCGTATTTTGGTTGACCCGGGATGCTCAGCCAACATCATCCAATGGAGAGCGCTGGAGCAAGCAACGATGATCGAAAGCATCATTCCGGCAACAAAACTCTTAGCTGGATTCAATTTGACAAATGTGACAACTCGAGGAGAGATCCTGCTGCCTACGAACGCAGAAGGGGTATCCAAGAACACCTTATTCGAAGTTGTAGATGATGACATGGGCTACAATGTAATCCTCGGGAGCCCGTGGATACACGAAATGAAGGTTGTGCCCTCAACGTATTATCAGTTGTTGAAATTCCCAACCCCGGAGGGAATCAAGCAGATAAGAGGAGATCAACCGGCTGTAAGGGATATGAACGCGATAATTGTTTCCAGCAGCAAGGGAAAGGATCCCACAAAATATCAATCACAGAAACTGACGCCTTCTCCTTCTCCAAACGAAGTTGATAGGATCAAGGGGTCATCAAAATCCTATCAAGTTTCGAGATACATTCAGGTACCAGAGGAGACGGATCGACTAAGTCGACCGCAGAGGAACTCGAGCAAGCGGACTTATTTGAAGAGTTCTTGGAGAGGAAGTTTCACTTGGGAACTGTGCTCAATCCCGAACTCAGGTTAGATTCTTAAAGCTAGCGCATATTGTTTTGCATGGTCACACTCAGATGTGACAGGTATCCCATTAGAAGTGGTCGTGCACAAACTAAGCCTGGACCCAAACTTCCCACCAATATGGCAGAAGAAACATCTGATTGCCGAGGACAAGAACAGGTTTGTCAAAGAGGAGGTAACCCGAC